CCTGCTATGATTACCCTACTTTTAAAGCATACATTTGATTTAAACAATAGGTCTATATAATATTCATATAGGGGACATATTGTATTAGCCCTACAGTTGAAATACATGCATGAAATACTGTTTAAACCTATAACATTTTACATAACATTTACCTATTTTATCTCACAATTCTGACTTTTTTTCTTGCTAATGCAAGTTTATATCTCCTAGTTCGGACTTTATAACTTTATTCAAGTCAACAATTGCGAGTTTGTCAATTCTGAGGAAAAAAAGACAGAAGTGTGGGATTATAAACTAAAAAGATAGAATGACGAGTTGATTTTTCTTACCAGAATTGTGAGATATAATCTCGGAATTGCAAGAAAAAAAGTCAGAATTTTGAAATACCGTATTGACCCGAATATAAGACGATGTTTTTTTCTTGGAAATACATCTGAAAAAACGCGGTTGTCTTATATTCAGGGTCTAGACTTTGACATGTCAATAATACACCCACAACAATAGGTGGCGCCAAATACGCATAAAACGTGTGCCATGAAATACGTAATGTAATGTGTGTTGTAAAGATCGCGAGTAAAAACAAAAGAAAAAGAAAACCTTACAGCTGCATGAGTCGTGACTGTCACGTTAGCCTGATGGGACCAAACTCCCTTTGTGATTTTAAAACGTAAGACAGTACCCAGATTTGAAGACTACAGTAAGATTTAACTTCTACTGTTAATAAGATTTTGGTAGGCTACTATTAGATGGATAGCCTAAATGTCCTAATTCAGATGGGCTACCTGTTTTTTTTTTATTTTTTTATGGTATATCAAAAAGTGTATATTTTTCAAATGTGATTGTTGGTACATTTTACCAGTTTTGACCATACTTTCAAAACAAAAATTCAAATAGGAAAAATATGCAATATGAAAATAATTGAAGACAAAATTAGTTTTACTGAGAAAAAAAACAAGATTTGGTTTTTAAAATGACTTTTTCCAAAAGGTACATCTGGAAAAAGGGGGGTCGTCTTATAATCAGGGTCGTCTTATATTCTGGCCAGTATGGTATAAACTCAAAATTAAATTTTTTATTATTTTATTCCATGGCTTGAATAGACTGCTACGTTAAAACTGTAATTTTCTGCCACCAGATAGGCTCCGCCCACAAAAACCGTCATCACTGTTTGCAAACACTGAAATTGGTATATACACTACACTAAAAGTTTGGATTTTAATAATTAGGTTTATTTTTTAATATATCAAATTCTCACCAAAATACAATAAAAACAGTGATATTGTGAAATAATTCAATTTAAAATTATGTAGGCATAAAAACACAACAGGCCAATTGTATGGGAACACCTAGTCATTCTGTATTATTAAATATGTCCCACCTTTTAGAAAAATATTGAAGTTATCAAAGCCATGAAATGACACAAATGGAAGTAACCAAAAATTGAAAAGAACCAATGGAAGTGACCAAAAATGGTTGAATAAATCAAAACATTTTTATTTTTATTTTATTTGTTACAGTGCGAACTACAGTCCAAGTTCTTCCCACACTGCAGCGTAAAATGCTGAAATAACACTTCAGACACATTCTCATTTTATTTTGTTTTGTTTTATTTAATTTTATCTACTGGCTGCTTTTCCTTCTTTGGGCATTCAAATTATATAATTAAAATTTCTGTATTAAAATTGTAATTTTGTACACACAGGTTGTGGCTAGAGAAATTGAACTCAGGTGTGATAAACCACAGTTTTAACAGGGGGGCAAACACTTCTTCACACAGGGCCATGTAGTTTTGGATTTTGTTTTCCCTTAATAATAAAAACCTTCATTTAAAAACTGCATGTTGTGTTTACTTGTGTTATCTTTGACTAATATTTAAATTTGTTTGATGATCTGAAACATTAAAGTGTGACAAACATGCAAAAAAATAAGAAATCAGGAAGGGGGCCAACACTTTTTCACACCACTGTATATACAAAACTAATTTCAAGCATTTAAGCAGAAGCCTTTAAATAAAAACATTTTGGAATTGTTTCCAGACTTTTGGCCAATAGAGTATACATCCAAAAATGCTGTCTAGGTCGAATGTTTTAAGACAAAAGACACAAACTTAAACAGTTTCAAACCAAAGCCGTGTGAAATGATTCACTCTGCGATTCCTTTTGTTTCAGCTGATCGGCGATCAGAAGCAGCAGATTGACAAACTCTCTCTGGAGATGTCGGTTAGATGTCATTCTCTACCTTTGGTTGTGGAAGCTTGGTTTGGATTGGCTCTTATTCTTGGATGGATATTAAGGCTTATGTTGAATTGTGTTATCAGAGCAGGGTTGCTTGAGACGCTCTAACTGCTGTCTGTCATCCTTCTTGCAGGCCCTGGAAAAGAAGCTGCAGAGGGAGAGGGGCATCACGCAGGAGCTCCGCAAACAGCTCTTGGAACGGGAGGAGGAACTGGAAACCCTCTCCAAAACTCTTCAACAGGTACGTCTCTCTCTAAACTACCCGCAAAGGGACTCTCAAAGTCCCGCTAAGACTTTTTCGTCCTAAATGATACAGATGAGCCTGCAAGCGGAAGTTAGAAGCATGATTGAAGGCTCATTTTTGTGCCATTAAATTCCTCGCCCTGCCTTTTCGTGGCAGTCGAGTCATGAATAACCCAACCGGCCCTCAGTGCGTTATTAGAATTCAGGACGTCATTTTTCAGCGTGCCGTCTCAAGGTGAGCGAGAGCAGAGCCGCAGTCATGCGTGACGCAGCCGCACTGATCCACAGACTCTCACAGAGCACTGAGGCCGTACATCATTCCGCTGCCACAGGGACACCAGATTATTAGCAAGCGTGCTCTTCCTGGCTTTCTCATGCGAGACCCACAGAGTATTGTAAGGTTTGATTACCAAGTATAAAAGATCCCATGTAAAGGATGACTGCGGTGGACAACAGTTTGGTTCCCTCATGATGCAGTTCACAACCGCTTTTAAACCACAGATCCTGCAGCCTTAAACGAGAAGTGTTTCATTTCCAAGCAACTGTTACATAAGAGTAGTTTTACAGCATATTTGTTACATTTCAACTCGAAGCGGAGTGCCTACAACCCCCTTAGCTGTTATAAATTCACTGTAATTCACGGGGCTTATTGCTTTTATAAAACGCTTATTCCATATACATAGTAAGGTTTCACAAAATAAAACAGAGCAAATAAAGTGTAATGATATTAATAAAAACATTATTCTTCCGCCAAACAATGTAATTCCTCAGAAACGGTTGTGGTTCCAACAAAGTGGTTGCCGAGCAACACACAGAAGTAAACATGTGTGTAGAGTAATTTACAACAGCTTCGAACGTGGCTCAACCAATCAGAGTCAAGGACCGGAACTATCCGTTTTATAATGCAAAATATAAACCTCTGCTAAAATGTAACAAATATGTTGTAAAACTACTCTTAAAGGGTTACTCCACCCCAAAATGAAAATGTTGTCATTAATCACTTACCCCCACATCGTTCCAAACCCGTAAAAGCTTTGTTCGTCTTCGGAACACAATTTAAGATATTTTGGATGAAAACCGGGATTGTGACTGTCCCATTGACTGCCAAGTAAATTACACTGTCACGGTCCAGAATCTGCATTGACAGATGGGCTTTTTTTAGTGTTCATGTAAACAACTGTTCATACTTTTGGGGTCAGTAAGTATTTTTAAAGTTATGCTCATGCTCATTTGATCGAAATACAGTGAAAACAGTAATATTGTAAAATATTGTTACAATTTAAAATAGCGGTTTTCTGTTTTAATATACTACATTTTAATATATTCAATAATTTATTATTATCAATGTTTTAAAATGTGTGTTTGTGTGTGTGTGTGTGTGTGTGTGTGTGTGTGTATATATATATATATA